GTATAATAGACCAACAGTTTAAAAATAAACACCTTCATAGGAAGTATTCTTTTGACTTAACAAAAGTAGATGACATTTTTAATCACTTGCTTGCAGTAAATTTCCTAAAGTTACCAAAGGGAGTTAAGATCCCTACTCCTGAAGAACTTAAGGGAAAAATGTACTATAAATGGCACAATTCTTGGTCTTATTCAACAAAAAATTGTATTATTTTCCGAGACAGGATCCAAGAACAGATTCGGAAGCAGAAGCTAAAGTTTCCAACCAAGACTGAGAAAGCTATGGGAATTGACACCAACTCTTATCAGTTTCTCCTAAAACAAGCCACCAGTAAAAGTTCTCTTTATTGAGACTGAAAGAATTTTAACACAATTGTCTGATAATTGGTTGGCAATTAAAATTCTGCAAGGACTGATTGATTCTTGCTGGCACGCTTAAATTTATACTATTAACATTTGAAAGCCAAAAAAGTCATCATGTGTATAGCACGGTGATATGCTAGTTTAGATATACACTGAAATAAATGAAGCAATGAATTAAATAATTAATCTAACAACCCTTTGGTCTTTAGAGGGGATTGTTGTAGAGGGCCCACTGACCAAGCCAAGTTGATCATCCAAATTAGGAACCTGGTGGTTAGACAATCAGAAATGTATTGTCACTGCTCTGTCTCTCTCTCTCTCTCTCTCTGTGCGCGCGTTTATCCATCCACCTTCACCAGATAGCCTTGGCACCTAGTGAAAACAGATGAAAATAATGCATACAGATAACGAAATATGAAACCTATAAATATATATATATATATATATATTAATTGGTTCTATTTTTCGCGTTTTTTATTTGAAAAATACCATGTTTTTAGTTGAATAATCTTGCTTCTCCATGCCTTGCTTCCTAAATTTAAAATTGCATGCATTGCTGTCCACTTTGCCAGTGATTTAAAACTCAACTTATTCATTGTTGTCAGTTGGAGAGTTTTTGAGTTGAAATTGTGTTCACATTTACCTAATAAAACAACATTGCTCTGCGCGTATTCAACGTCCCCACATTGGTTGTGCTCAATTAGCATAGACCATTAGACACGCATTCCACCAACATTCATTTTTTAATTGACAATCTTATGTTTAATTTTTGTCTAATTTTTTATCAAACATCAACTTAATTGATACAATATAAAAATTTGAAGGAAAAAATTGATACAATTAGAATGGTAAAGACCAAATTGACATAGAAAACAGATTATAAGAATCACATAGGTAACTTTCTTTTAAAATTATACACATTGTCACATGTCCACGTCAAAATTAGGTCATGTGTCGTGCAATGAATTTTCTTTTTTTGTTAATCTCTATGATGGATATGGAGGGGGAGAATATTGGTACTTGACTAAAGATGTATTGAGTTTGGGATTATTTGGCACAATTTATTTGAACTGTTTATAAATTTTTTTATTCTTGAAGTTTGTGATAGAGTATTTGGTGTAACATGCTTATGAGACATAGGTAGTTTAAATAAGTTGCGAAAAAATAATTATTTAAAAGCTGTAGAAGGAATTTAGCTTCTGATTTATGATTACCAACTTTAACTTATAAAAAATTGCACCAAACAGGCTCTTTAATTGCTAGAATTGAAAGGTGAGGGATCAATTGAGGTGCAAATTGTAATTTAACCTAAAATGAAAAGTCAAACGTGCGAAATATGCATATAAATTGAAAACTCTGAGGGCCGCGCCACAGCATTGTGGTTCTCATCGGATACCTTCGAGTCTTGACTTGAGAGAGAGAGAGAGAGAGAGAGAGAGAGAGAGAGAGAAACGGCGACGATGAGGAAGACGAAGTCAATGTCAAAGCATTTCTTACACATGCATGAACTGGAGCTGAATGATAAAGGCGAGGACTGTAAAGACAATTGCAGCATCTGCAAACAACCAATCTCTGAATCCAACTTTTATCATTGCAATCTCTGCCCTGAAAAAATACGCATTCATGAGTATTCTTGCTCTGAAATTCCACTCCAATTGGATCACCATCCCATTCACCCTCTCCACATATTTTTCCTTTCTGAAAAAGTCCGTCGAACCGACTTTTGCCATGCTTGTGGCGGCAATTGTTATGGAGGCTTCGCCTACAAGTGTGTGGACTCTGCTTTTATCCTCGATGTCAACTGCGCTCTCCTTACTAAAAACAACAACAACAAACAACAGTACCACCAGCAGAAGAAGAAGATTCAGTTTCAATTTCAGCAGCCGCAGCTTCCCAATCACCCTCATCCCTTGATATTGTGCTATAAGGATAAGAATTTGACTTATAAATGCACTTGCTGCAGCTTGACTATTGATGGAGATTGTCTCTATGTATGCCTACAGTGCAAGGGTTTGCTCCACCATTCTTGCGCTGAGTTGCCATTGAAAATCGAGCACCCGTTTCACTCCTCTCATTCTCTCTTCCTCCAATCTCGATCTGGCTTTTATGACCGAGAGTTCATCTGCAGCCTCTGTTGCCAGAGGCGGGACGGTTTCGCCTACCACTGTCATAAGTGCAAGTTTGTTGTAGACGTTCATTGTGCTTGTTTGAAACCGGCATGTCAGACTCAGATTCAACAATTCACCCATTCCCATCCCCTAGTTCTCTGCCACAATAAAGACAACCTTCCTTATACCTGCTATGCGTGTTCGCTTCCCTTGGAGGATTCCATCTATTTTTGCCCTGAATGCTGTGTCCTGCTTCATAGAAAGTGCGCTAATTTGCCTCAGGAAATCATCAAACA